GCCCACTGGTGTGGTGTTGTGGACTGGAGAGGTGGCTCCGAAGCCATGTGGTACAGCCCATGTAAAGGGGGTAGAAGGCACACAGTGCCAGATATTAAGGGGACTGAAAAAGAAGGTAAGTAGAGAGAGATGAGAAACTGAGAAATGAACAAAAAGAAAATGAAAAAGAGAGAGAGAAAAAAAAAGAAATTCCCCCTGGGACCCCACTGGTGACCAGGGAAGGGGCTCCCAGGCCTTGGGGCACAGCCCATCTAGGAGGCAAGGAGACGGCACACAGAGCCAGGTATTCAGGAGACAGGAAAAGAAGGTAAGTAGGGAGAGACAAGAAACCGAGAAATGAAGAAAAACAAAAGAAAAGAAAAATGGTCCCAGGAATCCCACCTGTATGACGGCACAGACTGGGGAAGTGGTTCCCCAGCCGAGTGGTGCTTCATAGCCTGTCAAGAAGAAGCAAAGATGGCACAGGGAGCCAGGTGTTTGAGAGAAAGGAAGGGAAGGAGGTGAGAGAGTGTTGTGGATTGAATTGTGTCCCACCAAAATATCTGTCAACTTGGCTAGGTCATGATTCCCAGTATTGTATGATGGTCTACCATTTTATCATCTGATGTGCTTTCATTATATGTTGTAAATCCTATCACTGTGATGTTAATGAGATGGATTAGTGGCAGTTATATTGATGAGGTCTACAAGATTAGTGTCTTAAGCCAATCTCTTTCGAGATATAAAAGAGAGAAGCAAGCAGAGAGACATGGGAACCTCATACCACCAAGAAAGCAGTACCAGGAGCAGAGTGTGTCCTTTGGACCTGAGGTTCCTGTTCAGAGAAGCTCCTAGACCAAGGGAAGATTGATGACATGGACCTTCCTCCAGAGCTGACAGAGAAAGCCTTCTCCTGGAGCTGACAACCTGAATTTGGACTTGTAGCCTACTAGACTGTGAGAGAATAAATTTCTCTTTGTTGAAGCCATCCACTTGTGGTATTTCTGTTATAGCAGCACTAGATAACCAAGACAGAGAGGGAAGAAACCAAAAGAAGCCAAAAGAAAGCAACAAAGAAATGGACTGAAGGAGCTGGCTGGTGTGGACAGGGCAAATTCAAGTGGCACAGAGCCAGCGCCTCCCTGGCTGAGTGACCTTAGCCAGCCGGAAGTGGAGGAGGCTAAGTAAGGGGAAGAAGAGTCTGGCATGGGGAAGCATGCATCGCTGGTTACTGGGGGCTCTGTTTCCTGCTGGGAGCTCTGTGAAGCTGCTTTCCCATATTCCCTGTCCACCTGTCTCTGACAGGAGTCCAAGATGGCGAATCCGTGCTGCATTAGCTGATAAGGGACCTCCACTCCATATTTCTCCTTGCTCTCTGTTCTCTATCAGTTTCTTATTCCATTCGGTGCTTGGTTGAGTTCTTTATCTCTTCATTTGATGCTTAGGGTTCCAGGATTGATGTTAGTTTACTTAGTTTTTCGGGTGTTTGCTGTGGAGGGACAGCATGGTGTTTCTGTCTGTAGCACCATGTTGGCTCTGCCCTTTTCCTCCTTTTTTAGTTTGGAAGTTATATACTTCTATACCTCTGTTCTTTTAGCGATCACCCTGAAATTATAACATGCATTCTTGCAGTATGCTTATCTGATGTTAATCCACATTATCCTCGTCCCAGAAAATTTGAGTCCTTAGACCAAATGTACTACATTTAGTTTCCTCTAGATTTATATGCTATTTTTGTGTGTGTTAATATTAATACTGAGTCCCTTCCTTGGAACTGCTTTGGGGCTTCCTGAGCAGTCTGAAAACCATTAAACCAGGTGATCTTGATACTTGGTCCACTTTAACATTCTATGACCCTAGAATTACACTTTTAAAATGTTAACTGGACCAGGTCTGTTGTGGATAATGCATTCTTAAAATGGAATTGCAAGAGAAATGAGGCATGGGTTTTTCAGGGTTTTCCAAAAGGAAGGAGTTAGGCATCTTAACAGTTAGAGCCATCTCTTTTCAATCAAATGCAGTTGAAAAGCTGCAGGCAGCACTGGTAGACCTGCATTGCAGATGAGGCATATTCAAATGATGGTGAAATAGCTGGAGGTGCCAGCAGGTCTGCAGCTCACCTAAGATGATTCTAGAAGCACAGAATCACTTTATCTCTTGCTAAAAATATTTTTATTTTCCTGTTTCCTCAGCAGACCAGATGCTGATGGAAGAGACAAGGTCATTTCTGCATATGTGAATAAAGTTGTTGGATGAAGCTAGGAAGAAAATTTAAACTGTATGTTTGTCTGGTTAAAAAGGATTTTTTTTTTTCCCCTCACAATTAATCATAAATTAAAACCATTAAAAAGCTATTAGCTCTCAAACTTCAATTAAGTTATGCCTCACACAAGCACTGAAAGCAGAAAAGTTTTTACCATTGATATTCAATGTAGTTCAGTAAAGTGGAAATACTTATTTTCCATTGAGTGGCTGACTGTATTAAGCACATCTACTCTTGTTATTCTGAATTTTCACGTCTCTGAAGCGATGTGATGATGTAACCATTCACCTACTTGAGACCTTGGTGCAGGAAGTAAGAATCTTTATGCTACAGAGTACCCTGTTGGTTTTTCTGATTCCACTTGGGCATCAAAAGCTACAAACAGTGACTTCACACACTAAGCTTCTAAATTCCTGCAAGAGCACACACTGTATTTCCCAGTTGGGAAATGATGTGTCTCTCAGAGTTCATAGTCATAGATGGGGAAGTCACATCTTCTGGAGGGCAAGTGGGTCAGCCTTGAGTCATTGTGTCATTGGTCCCCTGGGAAAGAATTCCAGAAGCTCTGACCCTGGGGATATAATTTAAACCATTACAATCTCAGCACTTGTATCTATAAGGAACCCACAAGATCCTCCACTTTAGTCTTATCTGAGCCCATCTTGTGGATGAGACGACTGATGCCCAGAGAGATTAAACGGTTTGGCCAAGGTCATAAACTAGTAATTACCAGTGTTCTCATAATGTTTGAACAATGTTTCTCCAAGCTCAGCAAACACATGGAAATGAGGTTTCCAGAATCCATACCAACATAAAGCACAGTTCATTTTAATGGCAGTTTATTCTGGAGCAACCTATACCATTGTCTTACTGATCTCCAGTCTTCTCAGGGAATGAGAGACACAACATTACAACTACAAAATCATGTTCACAGTACTATTTAATGAGCACAAAGTCCTCTGTTCCACACTCTTCTTAACTTTAAGAGTCTATTGATAGATGAGGTAGGCATGTAATGTCTTTTGCAGATGAGAACATGACAGAGATTGAAAGCATCTGTCAAGAGAACCCAGGCCTTCTGTTTCACGGTCTAGGATAACCGCCAGATTCTGCTTTGTTAATTGGCTTCCATGCAGACAGCTATTTTAACAAAGATTCTGTGGGTCTTCTGTGGCACATTTTGATTTAAAGTGAAATGTTGAAAAGCACTTCTCACCATTCATAGCTTCCAGGGTTGCTCAAGTCTAGCTGATTGGACTGAGAGGGAGGCAGCCTTCAAAACTGTTGTGTAGACATAAAACTAGAATATTCAGGCTCCTCAAATTTAAAGCATAATTCTCAGAGAGATGATAACTGAGGAGTCTGATTCCTTCTTAGAGAGATGCTTTCCCTAAAGTCAGAGTGAATTGAAAAGAGAGTTTATGGCAAAAATGCCACCGTGACCTTAAACATGCCATCTTTGGGTTGCTACCATAATGAGGAATGGAGTGCTACTAAAATACACTGAACATTTTAATGACTCCACTAGCAGTAGGCCAAAAAAGAAAGAAAGAAAAAAAAAAAAAAAGATTTAAGCTTTGAATAATCCTGAGAAGGAGGATTTTGCCAAGGAGATTTTAATGTCAAGAATATACGTGAAGCTAAATATAATGAGCTGAGGCACATCCCAGAGCTGTGGGTGGGGATGTGTACATAGTCAAATTAAATTATTCCATTTCCACTTAAGGAAAAATCTGATGGCAAAAACTGACGGGAAAGCATTAAGTCACATTTCAGTTGGATTATGCTTATAAATACCAACCTCCAGACATGTCAAAATAAGCCCTACCAGTGCTTCCAGGCTGAGGTGTTAGATAGACAAAGGCTGCAGCTACAAAAAAGGGTAAAGAGCTTACAGAAATACCATGCCTGGAAAAGCAACAGAGTTCAGTTCCAACAAAAGAGAAGGTTCTGAGAGATAAAAGGGGAAGTGTTCCTGAGGTGTGAAGAATGGCACCCAGAGAAGCCCAAGAGTGAATTCGGAGGGAGGAGGCTTCAGAGAACCTCAAGGACAGGTCTGGACTCGGAGACTGGAGGTCATGGCTTCATGACTTTTTAGCACTATTTTTATTTTCCCTAGGAGAGAAAGTACCCCTCAATTTTCAGCTTACTTTGGAGGGCCAGCAGTTGTGCTCTTTCCTCAAATCATTTGTTGAAACAATGGGAGTAAGAGGTTGGCTGCTGCCAGCAAGCCCATCTGCAAATCAAGGCCATCACCAGAGGAGGTGCCAATGCCTAGAAATGAATTTCAAGGACAGACATCCAACTACTAAACCTCCAATCCAAAAATGGGGAAAAATTAAAAAAGCTAGACCTAGGTAAGTCTTTTACTTACTTCTTAAATTGTAATCAGAAGACTCACACAGGATCCTGCTTCTTTCTTCTCCAGTGCTTGCCTGCTTCCTTGCCTTCCCCAAGCCAGGACCCTGGGCCAGTGATGTCTCTGTCCATTGGGTTCTGGTGCTAGCCAGGAAAACTAAGGGCTAGGAGTGGTGGGAAGGAGGGGGTGTCTTTCCTGGCTGGCATGGATAGTTGGTGACTTCGTGTAGGCCAATACTTGTTGATGCAGCCAATACATGCTCATTGGGAGTTTGCCTTGTGCATCCCCAAGTGATGACAGGAGTGGAGAGTGCTTGGGTGCCATGCACATGCCCAAGTTGCTGATGGGGAACCAAGAGAGCTGATGGGGTTCAGCCTAGCACTGCCACTGTCCTGGGGTCTAGATGAATTCCGGCTTGGCCAGAACCTGCATCTCATGCCTCTCAAGTCTGTCCCGGCAGGTCATTCTGGAGTCCCGTGATCTTTGCTCCCTAGAGAAAGTTAGAATGAAGCAGGGAGGGAAAATGATTTGACCTGATGGAAAGGGAAGTAAGGAAGTTAAGAGATAATAGTTATCAAGAATGTAGGATCAGACACTATACAAGAAACTTTATATGTAAAACCTTCTCACCCTTTTCTTCCCCATCACTTCCAACCCTCCTTCCCACCGGTCAGCACCAGAACCCAGTGGACAGAACCCTCACTGGCCAAGAAGTAGGAGCTGTTATTAGCCTCATTTTACAATGAGGACACTGCTTCATTTTTAGGGAAGTTAAATAACTTGCCCAAGGTCACGCACAGCTATGAATCAGCAATGGGAGGATATAAACCTCAGCCACTGGCATCAAGTCCAACCCTTAAACCATTCTACTGTTTTATCTCGTGTTGATTTCTTCCTGATTAAGAGAGTTGCTATTGGTGGTGATGTGGTATAGTAGAAAGAGCATCGGCCTTGGCTTGGGCCTGGGTTTGAATTTGTCACACTAAGTAATCTTGGGCATACAATTGAAACTTTCTGACTCTCAAGTGTCTCATGTTTAAAATAGGGATGTTGTAACCTGCCAAGGAGTATTGGAATGAGGAATACACACACAAGAGTCTGAATGCAGTGGCCAACAGTGTGTTGGACCCTGGCAAGAACGCCCCTTACCCACAGGGGAAGCAGATGGAGCTGCTGAAGGCACAGTAGATGAGAGGGTTGATGGCGCTGTTCAAAGCAGGCAGGTTCTGAATGATCACAGAAGCATAGAAGCACTCCTTGGTGTTTGGAAGAACGCTGAAGTTGTCCAAAATATCAAAGAGGAAGTATGGGCTCCAACAGCAGATAAAGGCTGCGGGAGAAGAGAGCTGTTAGCGTCATCACAGACTTCAGCTAAGGGTTTCCTCAGTCGGTCCTGACTGGGGTTTCATCTTGGAAATTCTTTGGCACCAGGGATCTTTCAGAATTATTGAGGTGGGTATAGTGTTTAGAATGGGGTATATGTTAACACTGATGCCATGCACACACACACACACACACGCACACACCCACACCCACACACACACACATCCTTGCTGATGTATTTCTAAAACTGAGCAAACTTCCTGGGGCTTCTCTATCTGTCAGGTGGAGTGAGGTTCCTACTGTTGTGGAGTCTATTGAAAGCCTGGGAAAGCTGAGTATGGCCTTAGCCTCTTGTCCAACATGGTGCTGAAGAGAGCAAACAAAATCCATTGGAGACTCTCTGGGAAAATACAGAACAGGAATCTTTTGACAGCAATGACTCCTGGTTGTAGGGTACGGCAGGGGAAAGAGATGTTTTCAAAATACAGCCAGGCTTAATTACAATGTTTTCAATTCTCTTTTCCATCTCTGAGTGGGTCACTCCAGAAAACATCACCTACCAACACACCCCTCTCCAAATTAATTGAAGTGTGTAAGAGCCTAATTCTTTTTGATTCTAAATTCTTAGAGGAAATAAGTGGGAATTGGGGATCCATAGCTAAACAAAACACTCTTGGGGGTGACTGGACACACACATATACTCCCTTATTCTCTTGCTATGTCCTCTCCATCCTGTTTATCATCCCATCTCCCCTACCAGGATTTTTTCTCAGAGAGGGAGAAATCTGGCTTCCTTGGCCATCTGCCTACAGGGGCAAACTTGCCTCCATAATTGTTTGACTAACATGTGGTTTCTTTCCCCAGACTTGGACAATGCATTAAAGGTGAGCAATTCAGACAACGAAGACTACTGAACTCTGGTCTCTGGGTAGTTAATTCCAGTGTTGGCCTGGAGTAGTGGTTCTGGGGTATTGTACTTGGTTAAATAGTATCCCCCCAAAATTCATGTCCTCCTGGAACCTGATTTGGAAATAGAGTCTGCAGATGTAATCAGGTTAGAGTGAGGTCATACTGGATTAGGTGGGCCCGAACCTAGTGACTGGTGTCCTTATAAGAAGAGGGAAGTTTGGACACAGACATACAGGGAGGGGAGAAGGCCACATAGAGATGGAGTCGTAAATTCAAGTGATGCACCTACAAGTCAAGAAATGCCAAGGATTGTCAGCAACAACCACGAGGGAGGAGAGAGGCGTGGAACAGATTCTCTCTCCCTCAGAGCCTCCAGAAGGAACCAAATCTGCTGATCACCTGATTTCAGACGTCCAGCCTTCAGAACTGTGTGACAAGAAATTTCTGTTGCTTTAAGCCACCTCGTTTGTGGTACTTTGTTATATCAGCCCAAAGAAATTAATGCAGAGATTGTGGGACAAACTGCCTTTTGGGGCATTTTGAAAATGTGTACGTAATGGGGGTTTGGTTGTCACTGGGATGCCACTCCTCCTACAAAGTGGGAGCAGTTCCACCCAGCAAAGATTTATCCCATGTTCCATACATCCTTTGAGCCCAACTGAACATTCATGTAGGGAGAAAAATCCTATTTATTACCCATGTCTAGAAGCCTAACTGTGTTTTATAAACACAAAATATTTTTAATAAATATTGAATTTTTCAGAAATGTCATTCTTCTGAAAATGGAGGAGAGATTACTTTGTTTAATTAGGAACTTTACCAATCTGTTCACCTGCTCAGAAAATCAAATCACCAATAGCAACACTGCTTATATTTTTTAAGTCTCCATGCAAATGCACCTGTATTGGTCTGCGTTTATAGCTGTTACCGTGTCTAGATGTAAGCATCTGAGTACTTCATTATGTCTTCTAGTGGAGCTGGATTTACATATTGAAACCTATGGTATCTTATTATAAATAATTTTCTTTCTAGTCCTCCTTTACTGTTGGAGAAGGGTACTGATTTTTAAAGAATTATGCTAGGTAGGTAAAATGTGTATCCATTTCATTTCAGGATGGTGAAGAGGGCATTACCAAATATTTGTTCTAGAAAGGGCTGTTTTCGTCTGAGAGGGCTGTCAACATGGGCTGACCTTTTGGTGTGTAGTCCTGCTTGCTGACAGAAAGATCCCCCAGGGCCTGGGTATATGGCTCCTCATTACAAAGGGCTGTCTTGGCTCTGGGGCACATGTATAAACGTATGTTCACCGTGCATCTGTGCTTCTGATTGTCTACAATGGCAAGGAAGTCTTTATCCACCTCAGATGCCTCTGATATAGGCTTTTGAGCCTCAGTGGGTTGTATTGCTTTATCCTCAGTTCTCCCTGCAGTGTTGTTTTGTGTCCACATTCCACTGGCTGAGCCATGCTGCATGTGGTCTGTGTGGCATTTTTTTCAGTTGCACTTTAAGAAGGTGAGACTGATTTTTCTGGTGATGTGACATGCAGGTAACATGAGAAATAGGCTTTCTCTTACATTATGCTTTCTTCGTGCTCCCAAGTGCTGTGAGAGGGGCTGGGAGGGGCAGGATTTGAGCCAGATAAAAGAAAACAACCCCAATTATTTTCCTTATTGCTTATTTTCATTGATTTGTTTATTCAAACAATATTAATTGAGCTCCTACTATGTGCGGGCCCTAGGCCTTGGGGACAGTGTAAGGCACACAAAAGTAAAAGTTATCACCCTCATAGATTTATTATTCCAGCAGCGGAGACAGACAATAAGCAAATCAATATATAGCCCATAATATTAGGCAGTGGTAGCAACTATGAAGAAAAATAAGGCATGATAAAAACTGGAGGAGGTCTATTTTTAAAAGGGCAACCAAGGAGACCCTTCCAAGGAGGTGACGTTGTCAGGGAACAGGACTAGGTGAGGGAATAAGCCTTGCCACCCTGAAGACAGAACATTTCTGAGGCAGGGTGCCCCAGCTGAGAACAGCTGACATTTTGAAGAAACACCAAGGCCAGTGAGACTGGATCAGAGTGAGGAAGGAGGAGAGCTATGGGACATGAACCTGAAGATGTGACTAGGGAACAGATCACCCGGGGCCGTGTGAGACATGAAAGGAACTTGAGAATTTATTCCAATGCAATGGGAAGCCACAGACAGTTTTGCAGGGCAGTGGCAGTATTTGATTTATATTTTTAAAAGACTGCTCTGGCTGCTTTGTAGAGATTATGGAATAAGAGAAGCCAGAAGATCAGTTGTAGTTTTCCAGGGAGAAGTTGATGGAAGCTTTGACCAGGGCGGTAGTTGTGTAAGTGGTGAGAAATGGTTGAATTTGGGATCTATTCCGAAGGTAGAGCCTCCAGGCCTTGCTGATAGACGGGATGAGGGATGTGAGAAAAATGGAATAATGACAATGACTCTTATGTTTTTGGCCTGAGCCCTGGGTGAAAGATGGTGTTGTTTACTGAGATGGAGAAAACAAGGGGAAGAGTTGGTTTTTCAGAAGTAGCAGGCATGCCAAGACTTCGATTGTGGACATGCTCAATGTGATAGGATTATTAGAAATGCAAGGAGAGATGTCAAGTAGAAATCTTAGATATCATTTCTAAGCAAAGACAGTGTTTGAATAAGGAGAGATGGATCAAATGTTGCTAAGTTGAGTGAGATAAAGATTTAGAATCGATATTTGGCATCTTGGAGGTTGTGGTGACCTTGATAAGGGTGGTTTTCCTGGAGTAATAGGAAGAACAACAGATTAAACTAGGATCCAGAGAGAATGAGAGGGAAAGGTGCAGACAAGGTATATACAACTTTTTTTTGTTTTGTTTTGAGAAGTTGTGCTACAAAAGATAGCAGTGAAGTGGAGAGGTTCATCGAGGGAGATGTTAAAGGATGCTTATACATGTATGAGCCAGAAAAGGGGAAATTTGTGGGAGAGAAAGGAGATAATTGGAGAAGTAAAGTCCTTGCATAGGCAGGAAAGAATGGAATCTGGGGCTCAAGTGAACAGATTGGGCCCAGACAGAAGCAGAGACAGTTTATCCATAGTAACAGGAAAAAAGTCAAAGCATATGGTAGACATGCAGGTAGGTAGGTGGATGTGGAGGTGGGAGAATGAGGAAGTTCTCTTCTGATGACTTGAATTATCTTAGTGAAACAAAAAGCAAGATCATTAGCTGAGAGGGCCTAGGGTAGAGGAAGTTTTGAAGGTTTGAGAAAAATAAAGAATATACACTAATCTGACAATATTAGGTGCTCTAGAAATACTTTTTTTTTTTTTTCCTCTGAAATGAGGTGACTTCATGAGTTTGAAGCAGAGAGAGAAAGGAAGAGGAAAGGGCAGGAGACAGGAGGGTGAAAGAGGAGGTAAGGTGATCATTAGGGAGGGATTTGCAGTGACCGTGAAATGAAATATCCAGAAGAAATGGAATGCCACTACTGCCTTCCCTTTGTTCATCCTGGGCGAGAGTGTGTCTAAAGTAAGCTACTAGGTCAACCGGGTGATATGAATATCAACTTCAGTTAGTTATATCTTAATCAGGTTTTTTTTTTCCCCCAAATTATCTACCCCTTGGTCTTGAAGGCAACTGTATTCATAAAGAGATAGATTAGGAAGCATATGTTGGCCCTTGAAGGAGCCATAGATGGACCAATGAGCTCCACACATTCCTTTGCAGTCAGACAGGCTAGGAGTGCCCGTAGATGAATTCCTTCCTTGTGTGGATTTTCCTCCACCAGGCTCCTGTCTACACAGTTCTGCAACACACAGAGGGACATTGCTCACTGAGAATGATGACGATGCTATACTTGATGGCCTTGATTTTTGCCTTTGAGATGAGCCCTCGGTTGTAGCTGGTGCATAGCTTTCCAACTGTACATACAAAAGGGAAATGGGATGTCATGGTTTCTGTTTCTGTCAATGGAAACATCAAAGGTTAGACCCACAGCTGTCATATGGATGTTGTTTTTTAGCTGCCATCGAGTTGGCCCCCTACTCATGGGCTACCCCACGCACTGCCTGGTCCTGTGCCATCCTCATGATCATTTGCGGCCCAGATCATTGTGATCCACAGGGTTTTCACTGGCTGATTTTTGGAAGTAGACCACCAGGCCTTTTTTCCTAGTCTGTCTAAGTCTGAAGCTCTGCTGAAACCTGCTCAGCATCATAGCAACATACAAGATCCCACTGACAGATGGGTCTCCTTCATGGAAGGCGAGAATTCTACCACTGAACCACCAATTTCCTGCTACCTATTGCCCAAAGTCACTCAAACCAGAGGTATCAAAAAAACTTCCCAGACTGGAGCCAGGTATAGTTTTAATCAGAGTCTCTGAGTGGTGTAAAGAGTTAACGCCCTCAACTACTAACCGAAAGGTTGGAAGTTCAAGTCTGCCCAGGGTGCCTTAGAAGAAAGGCCTGGTGATCTACTTCCAAAAAAATCGACCATTAATAACCCAATGTAGCACAGTTCTACTCTGACACAAATGGGGTCATTGTGAGTCAGAATTGACTTGACCATAACTGGCTAATAGCTTTAATCATGTGTGGACCATCATCTAACAGTGAAACACTTGAGAGGGTACCCTAGAATATGATTTCGGTGAGGTCAGGCACTTTGTTTCCTTCATTCCTGGAGCCTCCAAACATAAGGAGTGATTAGGTAATAAATATTCATTGAATGAATTAATACAAACCTCTGGCTAGTTAAGAACCAATGCCAAAGCAAAGGTTGATTTAGATGGATAGAATTCAGTGCAGTATCTCTTAGTAAAAGAAGTGGACAGGTGGCAAATATGGGGATGAAAATGTTGAATACAGGGTCCCTTGACTCTGTGGAAGAGTTTTGGCTGACAGGGCTTCTTCCAGCCCATGAAGCACCTTTGTGAAAATTAGAAGAAGTGCCCATCCTCTGATTGGACAGGATTCCAGCCCCGTGCACCCCCTCAGCCAGGTGCCTTTGAGTAGGGCACAAGGTACACAGCCCTAGCTAGGGCCAGGTCAGAGCCCACCAGGGCGCCTAAGTCGCACAGGGCCAGGAGGTTGTACACTACAGAGGTCAGCTGCTTTGCTTATTTTTCCTCACTACGTTGTTGAGATTTCACATTTGAAGTTTATTGTAATCCCCACAGAATATGGTCTGAAGTTTGTTATTGTTGCTGTGTACTGTCAAGCCAATTCTGACTCATAGTCGATTCTGATTCTGACTCATAGCAACCGTATAGTAGAACTTCCCTGTAGGGTTTCCTAGGGTGTAATCTTTAAGGGAGCAGATCACCAGGCATTTTCTCCTGCAGAGCCACTGGTGGCTTTGAACTGCAGCACTTTGGTTAGCAGCTGAGCACTTCACCATTGTACCACCAGGGCTCCTGGTCTAAAGTTTACCTTTGTGCTGTTTATCCAATCCAATCCAATCCAATCCAGTCCAATCCAATCACGATTCCAATCCAGTGCGATCCAACAAGCATAGAAAATCCACTAGGCCATAGGAACCAAATAAAATGGCTAACACAGAGTCCTTGTTCTCCAGGAACTTTCAGTTTAGCAGGAAAGATCACACCCTTTCCACAAGGCAGGGTGAGAGAGAAGAGACACAAACTGTCTGGGGAACAGAGAAGAGGGCAATCACCCCACCACGCCTTGTGGGAGGTGCAGTGGGCACCAGTTAAACTTTGAATGAGGGTGAGATCCCAAAAGGCAAGCACTGGGGTGTGGGTGTGGGATTGGGAAAGACTTGTTAAGCAGAGGGAACATTCTCAGCTAAGACAATGAAACAAGCAAACAGAGGACGTGTTTGGTCCGCAGTGAGTCATCTTGCTTGACTGTTGCCTATAACTGAGTGGGCTTGAAGGTGGGGAGAAGTGAGGCCAAACTGGGAAGTCCTTGAATGTCTTTGTGAGGAGTCTGAGCAGAATTCCTGAGGCAGCACTGAGCCCTGGAAGCTTTTGAGGATTTTCGAAGTATGAGAAGGACTAACTGTTATCAGCAATAACAGGAACAAGGGACTTTTTATATGCAAAAAACTGAAATGCCAATTATAATTTACTCATCTTTCTTAAAGTATATGCTGTAAGTCCACTCTTAGGCACTCTTACAGCCTTCAAATTATTCTGTACATTTCATAGAACCACAAAACCTCAGTGCTGCAGGGAAGCAAATGCAGCTGAAATGTTTACAGCTGTGTTTCTCAACTGGGGGTGATTTTGCTCTCCAAGATATTTTCGGCAATGTCTAGAGACATTTTTGGTTTTCACAACTAGGGGTGGGGGTGCTGGGGCGTCTAGTGCATAGAGGCCAGGGATGCTGCTAAACATCCTTCAATGCACAGGATAGCATCCCCCCGCCCAAACACACACTGAGAATTATGCAGTCAAAGTGTCAATAGCATCAAAGTTGAGAAACCTTGATTTCCAGGGTCCTATCTTGGAAAGAGGACTCCCTGGGTGGAGCAAATGATTTGAGCCTGACTACTAACCTAGGGGTTGGCAGTTCAAACCCACCCAGCAGTGTCATAGAAGAAAGCCTTGGCAATCTGCTTCCATAAAGATTACAGCCAAGAAAACCCTCTGGAACACTTCTACTCTGTAATACATGTGGTCCTTATGAGTCGGAGTTGACTCAGTGGCAATGGATTTGATTTGTTTTTAATCTCGGGAAGAGGAGTCGCTAGGTAGAGCAAACAATTAAGGCACTCAGCTGCTAAACAAAAGGTTGGAGGTTCAAGCCCTCCCAGAGACACCTTGTAAGAAAGGCCTGGCAACCTGCTTCCAAAAAATCAACGATTAAAAACCCAATGGAGTACAGTTCTACTTTGACACATGGGGCGGCCATGAGTTGGAATCGACTCCATGGCAACTAGTTGTTACCTTGGGAAGGGCACAGCCTTCAGGATCAGACCTGAACATACCCTCCAGCTCTACTAATTCTAGCTGCATAAGCTTAGGCAAATTGCCTGAAGTTCCCAGCCTCAATTTTTCCATTTAAAAAATGAGGCATGGAACATCAAACTCACAGAGTTATTTTGAGGATTAAAATGAAATATGCAAGGTGCCAAGGCCCATAATAAAAAATGTCAGTTCTCTTATTAGCTGGGATGAATGAGGTTTTAGCACTATTTCAGGAGGAATAAGAGCTGCCTTTATGGACATGAACAGAAGGCATTACTGCATTAGATGTCTATTATACAATGTTGTTACCTGCATAGGGATTATATATATCAATAAACTATCAGGGTGGGATTATACCCATGGGGGGTAACTAAAGAACACAGCACACCAAATTATATTCTTTCAACATGTCCCCACTTGCTGGTCCAGGGTCACAGCTGGCCCCTAAACAGATGGCTCTGAAGACTCAGTTGGTCTTTCAGAAAAGTTCTTGAGGATAACATCTGTGCTCTGAAACCTGTTTAAAATGGAAACTAGCAGTACTTTCCACAGGGCAACTGGGTGACGATATAATCAACTACCTGCTCTCCAATCTCCCAATGAGATCCATGAAAGCGCCTTTAGCCGGATCACTCCAGGAAATGCAAAGCCTCCAGCTCCAAATATGCCTCTTCAAAGAGAGCTGAGCTACAAAATGCCAGTAATTCTCCTTTATTGGGAGATAAAAGGATTATTTCTGCTCAGGCCAGGGCGCTGAGCTCAAGTGAAAAACAATTCAATTCAGCCGTCACTGTGCATTAATAGCTCGGGGAGCCTCGAGGCGGCAGGTCCGTTAGTGTCCAGCCTGGAAGCAGCACGCTGCCTTCTGCAGTTTTAATTCAAAGGTGCATTCATGAGGAGGACCCACACTAGAAATTTAGTTTCTAAATGGTCAACTGCTGCCCCTCACCTTCCTAAATAAAGCTTTCCTGCTCCTTGCAGCACTGTTGGGAATCCATGCTTCCGAAGGGCTGTGCATTTGAGGAGAGTGATTGCTAAATTGGGATTTTAAATGGAGAAGGAATTTATTCTTTGTAGGGGTCTCCTCTGTGGACCGATAATGAGCACAGGCGATTTGTTTGGGAACAAGAAAGTCTAATAGCCATGTTTTAAAATAAATATTCTCAGCCGGTAGTTTTCCATAAAACATTGAGAACATTATGTACATAGGCTGACTAACACCTCCCCTCTCCCTCCCTCCCCCATTAGCTAGGCATGCCTGCATAGGTCTAAACCTTCAGCAGGAAAATATTCTCAGGAGATTTTTAGCCCCAAGCAAATGGGTAGTTACACTAGATAGCAGGAAGTATCACCCAACTCATGAATCAGCCTGGTTTAGCTCAGGTTGAACCAGGAACCCTGACAGAACTAAAATAATTGTAGCAAAGACAGGTTAGCCATCCACCAAACCCATTCCTGGGCCTACAGCTAGATCACATTTTCCAGGATCCCTTTCAGCAGGGCATGGCCATGTAACTAAGTTCTGGTTCAGGGAACATGGGAAGAATCCATGTATACCACTTCCCAGCCTGGCTCAGATCAACCGCCTGCGCAGTCCTCCGCTTTCTCTCTCCCCTCACCCATGCCTGCTGGATGTTGATGCTGAGGGAGACTTTAGCAGCCATCTGTTCAAGATGGCATAACTTCCTTCTGCTTGAGTTGTGAATGACTGCGTGGAACACTGCCCCTTGCCTTTGACCTCTACTGCCGAAATAAACTTCTATTTTGTTAAGGCCCCTGAGATTTAGAGGGTTTATCTGTTATAGCTTCTAGTGTGTCCTTAGCTAACGAAGAAACTGGTAGCTCATATGCAGTGCAGCTGTAAGAAAAACCTAAAACATGTGGCATTGGCTTAGTGGGCAGATAGCCGGTGGCAGGAACCTACTATTGGAAGCTGGGACACCGAAGATCCTTTTGAAAGAAGTATCACATGTGATGGAGCTCAGG